CTGTGATTTTAAGAAAATGTTTCTGAGCTTGTGATTTGATTTCTGCAATATTAATTAATATTATTTTATGCATGTTACTTTTCTGAATCCTTGCTGTTTGAATTTCAGCAGCAGAGAATTTTGAACCCATAGTTTTATATGGGTATATATATACTTAATATCTTCAACAGCTCAACACATGCAGATTATGAACACATTGATTCTAAAAGAAATCCAGTTACATTATTTGGACAAAGACAAAAGATAGCATATTCGACACACATTTATAAAATGTATTCACTCTCCATCATGCATAGTTTGTCAGCAGCAATATTATCAAGATTACTGGTAAAATAAATAAGTCTTGGTGGTAGCTGAATATAGCTTTTAAAATTCAATAATATATGTTTAAGTTAAAGCACAAATAGCTTACCACACCATGCTGCTTCACACACTGTCTCACAGCATTACATAAATGACAGTATGGAATCACAAAGCTTTCAGATAGTGTAACTGATAAGGCATTTGTTTACAGTATATTGTGTGTCTTTGAGGCATGGCACTGAGTCTTTGGTCAGCTTCTATAGCTTCTGAGGCTGGGCTTTCACTGTTCCACACTGAGTCCAGCTCCAGTCTTGATCCTGGAGACAGAACAAACAGATTAAACCCTTTTATCACCACCAAATTGTTAATACTGTACTACTAAACACACACCATACTCCATTTTCTATCTACTCAACATTCTCATGCAATCCTCCCTAATTCTCGACCCTTGACCCTGAACAGAGTGACCTGCATGATCTACTGTAGTAAAGACTAAATGCAAATGTATCATTTTAAGAAGGAAAATCCAACACACAATAAAATACCTATACACAGTGAGTGAACATATACTGTATGAGGTGGTGACTAAAAATATTCACAGTAATCAGATTATTTTTAACAGGTGCCCTCACCACACAATGGTGAATGGGTGAATGCACAGTATATATAAGTTGTTACTTCAGGATCAGGTCAAATGCATGAATTCACTCCTAAACACACACACAGGCCATACCATGACAGTGTGCTCCATCTCCTGGGTGGTGTCTTGCAGCAGTGAAGTGAGCTGACTCAGATAACGCTGATTTTCATCAAGTAATTGATGAACAGTTTCACTGAGAGACAAGAGAGTGAACTGAGTACTAAACTGTAATATGTACTGAATTGTGAAACTTGTAGTAGAGTTATGACTTGTACAGATCTTACCTGTCAGTGTGTTGTTGCACATGAGACTGTGCTTGAGAATTGCTCTGTGCATGAAGATGACACACTGTATTAGCTACAGTATTATTCGACTTACACACACTGTAATAAAGACCTTCAATGTCCTAAAAATCGTTGATAGCTAAGAATATTTTCTGTTGTGCCATCTGTTATATACTCACACTCACACAGGCAATCTTGAGGAGGTACCAGAACTCCTTTTGTCGCTTCATTTGCATCTGCATTACTGCTGCCTCTGCAGATTTTATGTTCTCTACCGCCCTCTCCAACTTAGGGAATAAATCAACTATGCGTTGCTTACACACCAGAATTGTGCTTTAAAAAAGAGAGAGAAGTGACACACAGGAAACTGTAAAATGAAATTTGCATAGTTCTGTGTGTAACTGTTTGGGCTACACTTGTGGATTAAATTACCTCAGGTGAGTGTACAAATCTTTGAGCACTCTGTCCTGGTTCTGAACTGTCTGGAGTATGATCTTCACCATGTCTGAGCTGTCACTGTAGCCATGTGGAGGGTCAGGGCCTGTAAAACACATCCTCCTAGGATCATCCATGTACTACAATACAGTATGACATACAGTGGACAAGTAAACATACACTACATGCCAGGCTGCTATTCCTATTCACAGCCATGCTTTGCACAGAAAATGCATTAATTAAACCACTGGGACCAGCAAGACACATTTGTTCATTGAATCCTGTACATGATCAAATCCAAATGATTTCTTATGTTGCTGAACTGTATTACCAGATTCTCTAGCAAGGTAACTGGCTATCAACAACCCCCGACAAAACAGGGGCCTGTAAAAACCACCTTTACTCTTATATGTAATAAGTTGTATACTTACTTTTGCATTTTGCTTTTAGTTGCTTGTAGAGTTCAATAGCCTTGTCTTCACTGAAAAAAGACTAGAGTTAACCTGTGCATATCACAGTGACTTTTAAGGAAATTATTATACTGTAACGATTGCCCAGATACTGACAGCTGTTCCATTACATCCCCTTGTCTCCTTGCAAACGGGCTCCTCTGCAGTTCCACAATCTCAGAGTGTAGAGCCACTATCTCTTCATCCAGATACCCTACATCTGCAACCTACAGAAGAAAACACCCCTTAGCATGTGCGGTTTTTAAATACCCTAAGTGTGTTTAAAATTGCTACAAAATTAACTGTCCAACCTTTGTAAACCCATCAGCCTTTTCTTCATTATCCTGCCAGGTCCTCAGCATTTTTTCTGAAGCTTCAGAAAAACACAACAACAGATAGTTCACTTAAGGCTTCAAATTATCATATGTATCACAGCAGTAGATTAACATCCACTCACAGATGCCAGTGTACTTCTGCTTGGTGTACTGCTCAAGGTCGTGCTGGATGCTGATCTTAAAGAAAGCCAGTTTTGCTCTGAGCTGCTGCGACTGGGAGAACAGCAGGTTCTTGTACCGTGTTAAGTTGGTATTGTAACGCAGCAGACTCAGCCTACACAGACACAAACACAAGGTAAGCATGTTTCAGTGTGTCCAAGTATATATACACATGTGGGTGAGCACTTACATGGCAGCCCTCTGTCCCTGGTACAGGCGAATGTAGTCCTCTTTCAGTCCACAGATGTAGCTGACCGCTTCCCCCCACACCTTTCTCAGTGCAGACAGTGCGAGCTGGGTCTTAGTCTCCCTGACTGAGACAGCACATAGATAAAAAAAAAAAAAAAACACACAATTCTCATATTAACTTGAACAACAAATTAAAAGAATTTGCAATATTTTCAGTGTTTTGGGGTATAAACATCAACTTCTCAAATTTACATTCTGTCAATAACGTTCAAGGCCAAACAAACCCCCCCAGAGATCATCAGCAAACTGAACTGATGAAGAGTAACTTTTACAGCATAATTTTATAGTGAAAAGGTAAATATCTCACCAATAAAGTTGACACTGTCTGGCAGAGGTCTGGCAGTCAGTGGTCCAGAGTACTTGGTCAGGCTCTTATCAAACAGGAAGACTATGGAGCTGTCCCAGCCTCGCTAAAAGCAGATGAAAAACATATCACTATGTACGCTACAGCCTGTGTTAATGGAAGTTGGCTCCCTGGTAAACACAAAAATTCCAGTGGAAGTTTAAACTGAGAGGAGCCAGAAAGACTCAACGTCTAGTCGGTCATATTTTCTGTAACCCTATTATCAAACAATTATTAAAATCCAACACATCTGTCTTGTTTAGTTTTACCCACAGAAGACCCAGTGGAAACTTACTGTTAAATTCAATTTACTGTGAAAATATGAAGGCAAAAACATTCTTATTATCAGAAATATCAAGGACAACATCAAAGGTTGATACCAGATGTTTCTGTTTATGTGTGTGTTGTACATACTAATCCATCTGGCAGACAGTGTGCGGGCGGTCTGCGTGGGTCGAGGGAGATTCCCGTCTCCAGCAGCAGCTCTTGACTCAGCGGGGAGATGTGTGTCTGAGTGTGGGTCTCCAGACGAAGCTGCAGGGAGTGTAAGCTATCTTCAGCACCCAAAACCAGTGAGTGTAGCTGGGCCGATGTCATATCCAACACATGAATTACCTGCAGGACGAATATAATATCTTCTAGTCTAGTGACATGTATAAACCATAAGACACTCAGCAAAATCTGGTTAAAGTATGTCTGCACACAGACAAGAATCATATTGTTAACCTTCATGTTGAGAATATTCTGTAGGGTGGTGTAACAGTGCGGCTTGTTTGTGTCAGGATCGAGCCCTCCACCACGTGTGGCAGGGTCCCACACTAACAGCATTTGCAGTAGAGACTCAACTGGTTCCAGCAGCGGCCTATAAACAAACAAACACACACACACACACACAGGTTAGATGCAAATCAAACACACATGCTGGATGCTTGACTGGTACAAAGTGTCTTTTTGCTTCTACCTGCTTAGATTGTTGGGATATGGGAGATGTGCAGAGAATCTTACTTCCCCATTCATGTCCTCTACTGCCATGATGTCGTTGAGACCTTTGTTCCTGACTTTACTTGTCCTACAAAAGCAGGTAAGCATGCAACCAGAGAACACTGAAAATAAAGCTAACAAATTAAGAACTAGGTCCATAAATTGTTCCAAACACCTCCATCGTTAATACACATATAGTTTGCAGATAAAGAGTATTTAGTTACCATCACCACATCGATAAAAAGTGTTTGTCGTATGTACATTTTTGTATCCCATATGTTCCTGGCTTACAGTATAGCGAGTCTTTAGTGTTCAGTATTAAAATTTATATAGCCTAAGTATCTTTATATAGCATGGTAATACTCTGATATCAAAATTCAATTCTGGATCTTCTCATTGTAGGTTTATTTTGCAATATAAAGTTCATGCACTGATAAATTGTGGAATGTTTGCTCCCCCACATTTGTGGTTTAATGATATGCATGCCCAGTTTCTTCAGAGTATAGATAAAAAAATGTATTACTGCTATGCTGACTCACCACTGTACAGGCTGCATGTGGTGTAAAAAGGGACGAAAGCCACAAGTGCATTCAAAGATCACTGTCCCAAAGCTCCAGTAGTCCACAGTTACAGTGTAGGGTTTACTCTCAAACAGTTCTGGAGCCTGTCACACATACGGATACAGTTACATCTATTCAAATGAAAAAAATATAGTTATCAGATCCTAAAAAAATGTATTAGAGATGCAACACATACCAGATACTGGAGAGTCCCAACAAAGGATGTACAGAGACTGCCTTGATCCAGGTCTTTTGCATAACCCAAATCTATGATTTTATGGACAAGCTGGAAGAAATTACATGTTCATAATGATGGTAAGGCACAGAAACTATATACAAAATAGCAAATTACACAGGCTGCACACAAAAGGACATTAGTTCACCTTCCCATCAATCTCCTGCAAAACTATGTTCTCTGGCTTTAGGTCTCTGTGGATGATCTTATTTTCATGGAGATACTGGACACCAGAACCTGTGTTTGTAAAAATATTCCATATACATTATGCATTAACATGTGATGACAGTGGCTTTTTATCAATGTAAAAGCTGAGGAAAACATTACCGATGTCACGGAGGAGTGAGAGGATTTCACTCTCCTTCAGCCCACAACAGTTTTCTGGTTTATTCAACACCTAAAAAAAAAGAATCGAATGAGGTTAATGAGGCAATGTTTAAAACGACAAGAAAATGTTTAGGGTCTTTATAATTGATCCCTTTGGTACCTTGCGCAGGTCTCCTCTTGAACAGTACTCCATGGTCAGCAGAGGTAGGTCATTTAAAGCAACGGAGTTCAACTCCTCTGGAACTTCTCTGGCCTGGACAACATTGACATGGTTCAACCTATGACAGGAGGAGAGCCAAACATGCAGGGATGGTTTAACAAGAGAAAATGTACATTGAAGTGTGCCTATAGGCTTCTTTGAGAGAACAAGCAGATGATTTGGACTCACTTCTTCATGATCTGGATCTCTCGGCTCCAGCGGTCTTTGTTCTTAGAGTTCAGCTCCATGCGGCAAATTTTCACGGCGATCTTCTCACCCGACTCCTGCTCCAAACACGGGCAGGGAATAAAAACAAGATAAAGACAAATCTGGGTGTGGAGTTCATGTTCTCTTTAGCAAACAGGTGGATGACAGAACGTACAAGGTGCTGGTACAGGTAGACGTGCCCAAAGCCTCCCATCCCAAGTCTCTCCTTCATTTCCCAGGAGCCACACTGTTTGAGTGCAGTGCGCTCCATGGTGTGAGGGCTGCTGGAGCTGCTTGTGCAACCGCGGTAGTCTGCAAAGGACCTCAGCTGAAACAACAAAACAAAAGAAAAATCTGTCACTGTCTCCAAACATTATGTACTACATTGGAGATCTTCATCAAGGTTTCTGTTCTGTGTCAAAAAAAAAGTGACGTTACTTATGCATTTACACACCTGTCGTCTATGCATCTGCAGGGGAAACTATTAACAGGTGGGTGTTTTTCACCACTTATTAATATTATATTGTTTTGTAATGTTTTCATCCCCATGGGAGAAAATCACAAATGTCAGTAACCAATTTCTCCCTCAACTTAAGCTAAAAGATCAGTCACACACTACATTAAATCCTAATATATTTCCTCTTGAAGTTATGGCAGCTTTTAGTGTTATATTACCATGCATGTTTCTTTGTAGTTTTGTCTTTATTTTTTTTAATATTCCAGTGGTGCACCTAGACCTTTTTTAATGTTTACATGCTGATTGTATCTTTTTACTGCTACAGTGACCTAAACCAGGATTAAGAGCATTTGATGTTATTGGACAGCCAATGTTAGGTCCACTGAAGTCAGAAGACTTACAGACAAGTTGACTATATGAACAAAAGACCTACTAAAAACATCTCACTTAACGAACATCATAAACTCACCTAGGTCGTTAGATGATAATTAGCCAACTTTAGATCTCAAATCATTGTTGCTGCACAGTGTTAGCTAACCGTGTTGTTTACGCTTCGTTGTCTTTAGCTTTTAAGACTGAACCGGCGAAATTATACCTTCAATCGATCAAACACGACTTTGATGGTAACATTTATATTTCTTTTGTGTTGCACGTTTGGGCGGAAAGCTGTAGAGAACAGGGCAGCTCCAAACCTGTGCAAAGTGAAAGTAGTTTGCTGTTACTGCGCATGCGTGCCCGTTTCAAGCGCAAAGAACTACTATATCTCTCTGTCTTGGGGATTCCCACCCGCCCCCACCAAACTAGTAGACAACCTATACGTCTATAGATTTAATATAAACACGAGGGATGAAAAAAGTTTACATTTTTGTCCTTTTAGCATAAAAGCAGTTAGGCCTGTTAGTAGCAACTAAGGAGTATTTTCCAAACTTTGGCAAAGTCTTCATTTGTCCACTAGATGGTGCTATATGTTTAAATTATGATTCGAGAGCCACAGTACACTAATCAGTAGTTGTCTGTGTGGCACACCAAAAAGAGACATGATGCAGTTTCTTCAGTTTCGCATGACAGTGGCTCAGGCATACTTGAGCAAGTGTGGCACTGCTGTTGAAGATGCACAAGAAGAGAATGCACACCCTTTGCAACAAGGAAGCAGACATCAGATCACCCCAGTACCGCATGTCTCAATCCGAACAACTTCTACAAAACATCTTCCAGAGATGGTCAACCTGAAAAACCCAATGCGTTGCAGACAAACAGGATGCTCAGGGAAATCACGTGTCCGATGTATGACATGCAACATGTTCCTGTGTTTGCAAACTGAACGTAACTGTTTTGCAGCTTTTCACAATACTGTTTCTACAGACTACAAACAAATGAAATTTCTCTGCACAAAATGAATTGAGACAAAACATACTTTTGGAATATGTAGTCATGTAGTCATCAGTCTGCAATGTGTTGCAATTACTGTGTGCACAGTCATGTTCTGGCATAGATTTGTACTGTGATGTGTTGCAAATATTGTCAGCAAATTTTGTTTTTGCACAGCTATGTTCTGGCATAGATTTATTCTCTAATGTGATGCAAATATGTGCACAGCCATTTTCTGGAATAGTTTTGTACTGTGATGTGTTGCAAATATTGTTAGCAAATTTTGTTTTTGCACAGCTATGTTTATTCTGTAATGTGTTGCAAATATTGTGTGCACAGCCATGTTCTGGCATAGTTTTGTTCTGTCTCAAACACCAGTAATTTTATTGTATTACGCATTAAAATAAACCCAATGTCCCCATATGAGGACATCATTTTTCTCAAAAATGACTTCCTGTTCAAAGACCATACTTGGATTTTATACTTATCATGTCCCAATAATCCCAAATAGATAGGAAAAAATTAAAATGCATATGAAACCAAAGCTCAGGACTCTAGAGGTTAAGTCTTTTACCTGTAAAAAAATATTTCTATCTATCTATCTATAGACAATAGATCTTTAAAAAGAAAAATAAGGCTATATATTTCATTCAAAATGCACGAGTATAAGGCTTTTACAAATCTTTGAACTGAATGACAGATTGTGCAAAAAATTTTGTAACTAACTTTGTACGGCTCATAAGATCTTGGAAAAAACAGTTTTCTAAGCTCATTTAGAGCATACAGTAGAGCTAAATGCCTTATATTATAATTACTGTGTTTAAATGCTCTGAGAAAAAAACGGACTGCTTTTATTAAAAAAAAAAACACACACACTTTTATTGGTCAGGTGTTCCACGTACTGTAGTTCTGTCATTCAACCAGGCTCCAAAGTATTCATTATATACAACAAGTTTAATTTGAGAGAGTTTAGTTTTGATCCCAATCTTTCAATCAAACAATTCAATTAAATCTGAAACAATTAAAGAAAATCCTGCTAGGGTTTCATGATTGCATAAACAAATCTGCATTTATCATTAGTGTTTTTGCAATAGATTTATTTACATAACAGAGTTTTGACTAGTCAGGGAGGACATAACATTTCTCAATCTAAAAGATGACGTTAGAGTAAACTAGACAAAATGTACAATTATGCCATAAATGTGACAACAAAGTTAGGGTTACACTGATGATTAAGAGGGTTAGTGAGGCAATGACGGTTAGTGTTGTTTTTGCAATAGTGAAACATAATTCACTGTAACTGTCTGTGGTTTTCTTTCGTTTTTGATTGAGTTTGTGAAGCAAAGCAGATGCAATCTTCATACAAAAGAGCACATTTATCTAGTTTTTTTTAAATATATGTTTTGCATATTTAATCTCTTTGCATATCAAGTTATCAGCCAATAGTGATATTTAATAGCATCTTGCTCTCTTCACAAGTTCCACAAAAAAGTCCATTCAGTTTGTTGTCTGCAGGCTGTTTTGATGTCAATGCAAATCTGAACTTGCTGTTTAAAGCAAAGGGACATATCAAAAATCATTTATATTCAGGTTGAGAGTAACTACTAAATTAGGAAAATATGAATGAACATGAGACTTCTCAAAGACATCTGGTCTCACAGTTTTTAAGCTTTAGTTAAAGGCATTTTATGCTGGAAAGAAGAAGCAGCCAGGCATGCCATGATTGAACATAGAAGTGGGAAAACACATTATCTGAAATCCCTATCACTACAGTGACTTCTTGTTTGGTGTGCGAAAAGTAATGTCTTCAGTGGTTATCTTTCTGTTTTGTTTTATATTATATCATATGATATGTGTTTGGACCCTTAAAAAGGAGTAATGGGGCAGTGAAATGGGTATTTGGATGTGACAAGAGGTGTTTTACACACCACATCATGCTCTAATAGCGCTATTCATAGTGAAGGGTTGAGTAGAAACCAAAATTTTATCAAAATACCAGCCAATTCTGTGAAGACTATTCTAATTTTATCCTCTAGTTTATTTGAGTTTTGTTACTCATTTCTCCTTCCTCAGTTGACACTTATGTCACTGTGTTTCCAGTATACAAGCAGACGCTCCAACATGTCACAGAGCATGTTGGCACCCTAATGTTACAGAAGAATAACATGTAGATGGTAACACAAATACTTTCAACTTCAATGTGTGTTTGCACTGCAAGGGTCAGTGCTATAGTGCTACCATATAGGGGTGTAGTCAGTGCTCTTTGTCAGTCCATCTGACTAAAACTTAAATCACCCAACATCATCATCATTTTTGCAGATGTGACAACAAATGTATGGTCGCATTTAGTTTATTGTAATTGCAGAGTTAACATGTTAAGATGCTCAAAGAGGTGAGTTATGAACCTGTAAAACAGTATATGGTGACTGTGGATGACCGTGTCTAGAGTCAACCGGGGGAGGCAAAAAGCATTAAGTAAACAAGATCAAAGCTAACACTTCAGGTTGCAGATGGCTTCAACCACAGATATTCTGGGTTTGCCTGGGTTTCCTAATTTCTGTGTAATATGTAGTTCTTCTTTTGGTAAAATACCTATGACCATGTCTCACATTGAAGGCTGGGAGCCAACACATGAATTAATTATTGTAGGTTGCTCAGTTGTTTCATGCTTCCTGACTTGACATCATGCATGTAGTACTTATTTATCTCAACCTTCAAAAGCCCCCAGTTCACAACATCTTGCATGAAGGTGTCATATCTGGCTATTGTTACCGCCAAAGAGGAGGAAATGTGAGTAACACTGGTGTCAGTATTTGAGGTGAAGATGAGGTAACTTTTACATGGGAAGCGGTTTTAGAAATCCCCCTGTGCAGAATTCCAAACAATGCCTTTTGTTTGGGGGGGAAACTGGGCTACATTGCATAGAGCCTTGTCCAGAAATACAGGTGCTCTGTTATCCAAACCAGATTTAGGATAAATAAATTGCTTAAACTCATTCATCTGGTAAAAAAAAAAGATAATTGCTTCATATTTCAGGAATACGTACATGCTTTTCAGTATTATTGATTAATGACGCAGTTATTTGCATGTAATAACAGGCAGATGCTTCAAGAGGATGTATAAGTCAATAGTGATGCAATGTTTAAAAGAAAAGTCACATCATCTTAAACAGCTTACAACGCTTTTATTTTTTGTTTAATATCCATTTAGATTTTGTGATCCTAGTTACATAACAACCTACATGTGATGGCTGTCATCCTTATTATACAGTATATCATAATGTATAATAATATAGCACCTTTATTTACAAGGTGCTGCACAGGTGAAAACAAGAAACAAGCTAAAATAATAACAAAGGACAAATGCATAAAATGAGAGGACCTTAAAAAGATAAACCAAATAAAAATGGGCTTTGTCATAGTAGTAGGAGGAGAAATTTAAAAGCAGACACAGCACTAACTAAACAAAGCCTTTGGCCCTGACCGGAAATGATTAAGGCTATGATCATAGGTGACCTAGTTTAGATAGAGATATTGTACAGCCAGCTGGTTAAAAGCTGTGCAGCTGCACATTGTATCAGCTGTAAATGGTGCATGCTATTTTAGTTGAGACCAGAAAATAAAGTACTGCAAAAGTTCAAACAAAAGAAAATTAAGGAGTTTACCTGCTTCTTCTTCTTCTTATTTCTACCATAAATGTAAAAAAGGAGCCAGCACATAGATGTTAACAGTTCTCAGATTCTAAATAAATGTAAAAAATAAATGTCTGTTGATGCGCAAAAGGCATCAAGAACATTTTTCTGCACTGTAATGATGCAACCATGCAAAATGGCATAAAAATAGCATACATTTGACCAAGCAAATATCAAGTATATATAAACATTGTTCTATATTGTCAAAAAAAAACAATCTTTTGCTTATTTTCACAGAATATTGAGGGTGAACCTGACCTTCTGTCATAGCATGTGATATTCTGCACGCACAACCACATCAGTTTTCATAGAACATGTTACCAATGGGTATCTTTTTTTTTTTTTGTTGTTCTGTATTTTGGTGGTTTAAGGGGGAGGGGTGGTGGGCTGTGATGTGTGTATGTGTCACAGGACATGACCATAAGTCTTTAGTCAAGACTTTGCTGGTTAGTAATTGGAAGTCCAGTTGTGTTTTTTTGCTGTAGCTGCTCCTACAAACCCCTCCCACTTGTTGCCTCTGTGATTTTAAAAGAGCGCTAATGCGAGGAGGCTCAGCATTGCGCCACAGAGTTCCCAGTATGAGCCTGAGTCCTTCCACTGCACAGGTGTAACAGAGGATACGGAGAAGAAATCTTAGTCACTGAAGCTGGAAGAAATAACAAAGGGCTTCATCAGAATTGCATATTTGCACAAAAAGGTAAATAAAACTTCCTGTGCTATTCAGTAAAATACGTTGTTTTAGTTTACTTTCTGAAATCTGTAGGTTAAAATCCGAGAAAAATATTTTATTGCTGCAAAACTTATCCAGCTAATTTAAAAAAAATGTTAGAAAGAAAATGTTTCCATGTGCATTGAAAATAAGATTTTAATCATACAACCATTTTCCTTTCTTGTTAAGCTGACAGTGTTCTAGAAATATCATCAGTGACTGAACTGTATGTAAAATAAATATGTTATAATGATGTGCACATGCTATGAAGTAGTTAACTAATCTAAATTGATAATGCACTCAGTGCGTAGATACAGATTGTGTTTATAGGACAGGGTGCGCACAGCAAGCATGCCCTACCTGCTGCTCTCACATTAAAGACTACAATTAAATTAAAAACTACAATTTTGCCTTTGCCTTAACTGTACACATGCAATTATAAGAAACACTGTGAGAACTGAACCCACGTGTCTTCAGTAGTCACGCTTGTTTCAGTGCTCTTCTATGCTTAAAGATAAACTCTATATAAGGGCAGAGAAGCTCTGAATCTAGTCATGTTCTATTTCTGTTTTTTTTTTCCCAATATATTCTCAGGCAAAAATATCCCCAGTAAGCAGAAGTGCAGCCAGAAGTGAAAATGAACTTTTTAGTCATTTTTGCCATCCTTGCAGCCTTCAGTGTGAATGTGGTAAGCAACAATAAGAGGAAGTAACTCTAGGTACAATGGTTCACGCCTACAGTTCTGGCAGACTGATCTGATGACTGATTTCTCTTCCTTTACCTCTTAGGCTTATTCACGAAGACGGTCTGTAAAGAGACAGGGTAAGACGACTGTCCAACCAACACATATTCTTCAGTGTTTTTCATAAGATGCAGTCAATGTTCTCATCTCTGTTTGCATTGTGATCCTCAGAGCCATGTTTCTTTGGGGATGGGAGTAGTTACAGGGGATATGTTTCCATGTCAGCATACGGCCACAACTGTCTCAACTGGAACAGGTTTCCAAACCGTTGGGGAGCTTCAGCAG